TTCCCTTCCCCACAATGGCAGTGGTGTCCCAGGCCAAACAGAACAGGTAGCGGGATGGGATGGGGACTGGTCAGAGGTATTTCCGGCATTCATTCACATGTGTGTCAACCCCCTTATTTGGCAGCAAGGGGGCCAGGCCAACCACCCCACAGCTGCTGTGGTGACAGAGAAGCAGCAGATGCTGGAGCAGCACCTACAGGATGTTCGGAAGCGAGTACAGGTAAACCAAGTCTTGGGAAAATATCCCTTTTCTTGGAGTTATTGCCTGTGGGAACTGCCTGTATCTTTTTTGAGGTTTTGACTTCGTTTTAATTCGTCTCAGAAACTTTCTTTTTCTTCTCCTCAGGGAAATCTTTTCTATTGTGTTTGTTTGTTTTAAACAGGATCTAGAACAGAAAATGAAAGTGGTAGAGAATCTCCAGGATGACTTTGATTTCAACTATAAAACCCTCAAGAGTCAAGGAGGCAAGTGAATATTAGAGACGTTAAAATCTCCCATAGAAAGTGAGTTTGCGTTACTTGAGTTTCAGGACTTACTTGTATTGACGCTGTGTTCAGACTTTGTGGGGAGGAGTCCTTAGGGGCTACTGTTGCTTAAGGGATCCTAATTACTAAGAATCAGAGTGTTCCCTCAGGTTCAGGTAGTTTTTTCTTCCTCCACAGACATGCAGGATCTGAACGGAAACAACCAGTCGGTGACCAGGCAGAAGATGCAGCAGCTAGAACAGATGCTAACAGCGCTGGACCAGATGCGGCGAGTAAGACCATCGGGCAACTTCCCCTGCGTGTCTCAGTCACCTGTGGGATCTCGGCATCCTGTGGCAGAATTTGCCTGGTTTCTAATGAGTTCCTCCTCTAGAATTGACTATAGCATGTGGTTAGAGACGGTCTGAGGAAATAAATGTTTTCTGACTTTGTTTTGGTTTCCAACCAGAGCATCGTGAGTGAGTTGGCGGGGCTTTTGTCAGCTATGGAGTATGTGCAGAAAACTCTCACGGATGAAGAGCTGGCTGACTGGAAGAGGCGGCAACAGATCGCTTGCATTGGAGGCCCTCCGAACATCTGCCTCGATCGTCTTGAAAACTGGTAAAAGATGAAAGAGAAGTTTTTCCTTTCCTTCTGGAAAGCTGTGCTTAATTACTGCAGACCCTAAGAGTTGGTACTGTATCTCAAAGGTGGGGACTTTTGCATATTCAAATTAAGTCTAAGACTTAAAGCTTTTACTTTATTTGGACAATTCTAAAAAATGTATTTATATTACTCTATTTTAAATATGTTTTATTTCATAATTTAGAGAAAGCTTTGGTTTAACTGTGTTTAACACAGAGACTAAAACAAACCACAGACTAAATTTTAAATTTTAGTTACTTTAATAATCTAAAACGATACATGCTCTTTATAAAGGAAAAAAGTTCAAATACAGAAAATTAACAAAAGAAAGAAAGCCTCTTAGAATTGAATTATTCAGAGGTCCCTGCAGTTAAGATTTTGGTGACCATCACTGAATATCTGTTATTGTATATCTACACATAAAGATAGAAATCGGTACATTTTTACATCGGTGGGATCATTCTTTTTATGCTCTTTTTATAATCTGTTCTTTTACACTCATTCATCCAGCAGATCTTTTTAAGCACCCTTGATGCGCAAGGCCCAATAATGGATTTGTTGCACCAGCTTAAATAAACTAAGAGAAACTTGACATGAGGGGACCCAGATACACAGAGCATGAAATTAGAGATTTAGGACAGCTCTTTGTTCATGTCCTTACTAACCCTGAGTTTTGCTAATTTACCGAAAGCGGTGTTAAC